TTTGGGCCAACAGAAGTGGGGCTAAGTTAAACAGGAGATGGCTTAACATGCCCCTTGGATTTTCATATATTGGCAGAGGGAGGCTTTGTATACCTGCAGGGCTGCTCCTGTCATTTGCATTCTAATGTTGTCTTACCCAATAAGTGTATATAAATAAATAGTGTGCGTTATTTCTTGCAAAAGATTGTTTATGTATATTGCTTGAAACAGTAATTGAAAATGTTTGATGGCTTCTGGAAATGTGATGAAACAGCATTCAGTTAATTTTCTTTGATGTTAATAGTCAATCAATTAGAAAATGATGATTATGCAGTATTGAAATACCATAAAAGTAAATTGATATGTCATTAAAATTCACATATACACTAATTGCGTTTAGGTAAGTTTTGTCATTTCTTTTATTTTTTGTGCGCAGGATCTCTTTCTTGCCAGTACCATGCATTTCATTTGCCACTTCCTCATGTAAGTTACAGCAGAAATAAATAATCCCTAACTTTATTTATGTTCCTGAGTTTGTAATTCCACCAAAAAAAGAAAAGAAAAGAAAAGAAACCAGATTGGTCTGGCATGACTTATTTTTGAGAAACCCATACTGGGTCTTAGTAATCACAGCATCCTTTTCTAAATGCTCACAGACCAACTGTTGAATTATCTATACGAGGACCTTCCCTGGTATTGATATCAAGATCACTGGTAGGTAGTTACCTGGGTCTTCCTTTCCCTCCATTTTGAAGATGGGGACATCATCTGCCCACCTCCAGTCTGTAGGGACTTCACCTGTTCTCTAAGTATTCTCAAAGATAATAGACAAAGGCTCACTACCCTAGTTGTGGACAATGTGGTGGTGGTAGTGGCAATGTGGTTCTTCCCTGACCACCCAACTATTGAGTCACTGCTGTATATTGGGGGGGAGGAGCAAGGTGGCAGGGAGGTGTGTGGTGTAAATGCACTAGCAGAAACTCTGCTGTCAAGAAGTCAGGTGAGCACTGCTACCCCACCATATCCCACTGCACCATCTGCTACTGAATAATCCTTTACAGGAACGGTGCAGGGATCTGGCACAGATCAGGCTGCATTTTGCAATCAGTCAATCTTTAGCAGATAAGCATAGGTGCATTTGCACAAAGTCGGTGCAGCTTCTCCTTTGAAAGAAAAGTAGCCGAACAGCCACTGTTTCTTGATAAGTAGAGGTGATTAATTAGTAATGACTGGTTACTAATGGGCAACCTATCCTTTCTTCCCATCAGAAGCAGCAGGGAACTGGGAGGACCCTCCAAGCTAAGACACACCCGTTCTTCCCAGTGTGTCCTTGTAATTCTCCAAGAAAAAGCTGTAGCTGCTCCTCTCTCTTCTCATCTTCCCTGGGAACTACTGAAGAGAAGACTGAGCTCATAGTGCTGCCTAGAGAGAAATAATATCAAGCCCTCTCTGCTTGCTCTGTGGGTGATGCAGGGGAGAGTACTGATCATGGAAGAAGCAGGCGTCTCTCTCATTTCTCATCTACATTTCCCCTTGTGGAAGTGCATTATTACTTATTATTTTATATACTGCTTAATTGGATTTTCAAGGTGGCTTCTAAGTGGCTTGCAGTATAAAACCAGTTACAAATAGTATAAACACCTATGATTAAAATGCACATTAAAACAATTTCATCAAAACATTAAATCAAACCCCACCAATAAAAATGTACAATAAAATAAGCCCATTAAAAAAGCACAATAAAAATATTTAAAATCTTTATTTAAACTGTTAAAGCAGGGCACTTAAAGACCATGACTTTCCTCAAAGAATCCCAGGGACTGTAGTTAACCCCTCACAGAGCTAAAATTCCCGGTGCCCATAGCGAACTATAGTTCTCAGAATTCTTTGGGGGGAAAGCTTTTTTTCAGAAATTCAAAGTTGAAATCACAAGTAAAATGCCCAATAAATAGAATATTGAGGACAAAAAGCTACTGCTGGGGGGAAGCACATCCTCAGATACAACCACCCAGCCACCACTTCGCTATTCCCATGGGTACAAGAGATGGAGAGGAAAGGGAGGGGCATGAAGCCACAAACAGCCTTCCAAATACTTAACTAGTTTGGAGTGAGGCATTGCTTATTTTTATTTTGGGACTGCTTTTTTGTGCAACCATGGTAGATCACAAAAGGTGTATGTGCACATGTAGACAAATACCCATAGATCTCAGCTTTCCTGGCGTGGGGACACACACAGAGACACTGCTGCTGTTTTGTGCAAATTTAGTAGATTAAGAAACTCATATTAAAAATAAAATAAAGGTATGTGCTTACAGGTAAACAGATACCAGTGTGTGTGTGTGCCCATAATGACCTCAGGCAAGGCCACCCCACCCATGAAGTAGCTGCCTCAGGCAGCAGAAGCCCCCAAGGCAGCACCCTTGTGGGCGCCTCCTGCCACGCCCCCACCTCTGCCAGAGAAGTGGTGCCAGGATAGGTGCTGATTTCCTGCAAGATCTTGCGAAGTCTCATCAAAGTCTTGCAAGATGGTCTGCATTTCTGGCCAGGCCTGTGTCCTGGGGACGAAATAGGGAGGAAATGAAGCAATAGGCAGCCATACATATGAACAACTCAAAATCCTTACCTAGTTTAGAATGAGGTATTGCTTATTTTTATTTTGGGACTGCTCTTTTGTCCAACCATGGTAGATCACAAAAGGTGCATGTGCACATGTAGACAAATACCCATAGATCTCAGCTTTCCTGGCTTGAGGCAACACACATAAACACAGCTGCTGTTTTGTGTAAATCTGGTAGATTAAGAAACTTGTATTAAAAAAAAAATTAAAGGTGAGTGCTTCCTGCAAGATCTTGCGAGATCTCCGCAAAGACTTGCAAGATGTCAAGGAGAGCAAAAGATCTCTTGAGATTTGGGAGATATCTTGCAAGCTCTTTCGGGGACCAATGCCAGCACTGCTTCTCCACTAGCGGCGGAGGTGATACAGTTTGTGGTACAGCTGCACTGCCACTAGCAGGTGTGGCAGTAGTGAGAGTGTCCCACTGGTGGTGATGGTGTTGTGGTGTGGCAGAGCAGGGTGGGACTTCCTGTTTTGCCTCAACTGGCAATATGGGATGTACTACTTCTGACCTTGGGATACCAAAACTTACAGCTCTCAGTTCTGAGTGAAGGCAGGCAAGGACCCGCAGCCCAGGTGGGCCTCGTTAGCTCAGAAAAGGAGTTGTGTAATTCCTCAGCTAGAGTAGACTCAGAACAGGTGAGGGTCACATGCCTCATCAACCCCACAAGCTATAACAGGAAAGCGGTCCTGGCCAGGCCTCCATCCTGAAAGGAAGCAACAGGCAGCCAGTTCCTTACCTAGCTTGGAGTGAGGCATCACTTATTTTTATTTTGGACTGCTCTTTTGTGCAAGCTTGGTGCATCACAAAAGGTGTATGTGCACATGTACCCATAGATCTCAGCTTTCCTGGCTTGAGGCAACACACACAAACACAGCTGCTGTTTTGTGCAAATCTGGTAGATTAAGAAATGGCAAATCTATTCTCACTTCCACACTAGCAATGGGGCAGTGCCCGCCACAGCGCCAGAGGAAAGCATAAATGGATTGCATTTATGTGAGGATGCATAAATGGATTGCTACCCGAATGTGGAACCCTAAATAAGGAGGCCAAAGTGCAAGGGAGCTCCTCATTGCTGGACGGAAGTACTCACTATTTGGGAAGAGGCCGCAGTGACCATGGGCCTGAATTGTTGGTAAAAGGTTTCAAAAGCAGAGGAAACACTGACTAGGCCTGTGGGTTGCAGGGCACAGGAGGCTACCCTGACCCATCTCGGACACGGACCCACTGTTGAATCATTGGCTGCTCTCAGCACTGCCGCGGAGGTGCCGGGGCGGTCCACAACGTTAGGTGGCGTATCCGGGATGCATTCTTGGGTGAGCGCCAGAGGTACCGCTGCCACCTGGTCTGCGGGCCTATATTGCCTATAAAATGTCTAAAAAGCATTGAACAACTGTGCCAAAGCCTGTGGGTTACTAGGCACTACGAAGGCCTGGGACCCCTCCTGGTTCCCTTGTGCCACCCCAGATATAGCGGCATATTGCTGGTTCTCTTGAGCAGACATAGTTTGATACCCTTAATTAGCCTGGTTCTGTAAAATCAACGCCAACTAGCTTGGATTATATGTGTGAGCTGCGAGCAATATCACGGTAGTTCAGTATTGTCTGCACTGGTAAGTTTAAAGGACCCAAAGATGCCTAACTAATCTCCAACAAATTGTATTTAGCTGCAAACAATATCACCGTAGCTCAGTATTATCTGCACTGGATAGCAGTCCAAAATACCAGCCCACACCTCAAAGCAATGTATTTAGAGGAATACTGAGTCTATACTAAACAGAAGAGAACCTTTGATAATGTAAGCAGCTATGCAGCAAGCTAGAGGTAGAATTATAAATTGTAACCCAGCAATACAGCAGTGAAAATGATAAATTGACTTATGCAACCAACCTATAAGCAAAGCAAAGCTCCCAAGAGCCCTTAAGCACTATTATCAAAATCAACCAAATGAATTAAATTGCCAGATTAAATATATACTTATAAACTAACAGATGAAATACCAGAAAGAGATGAACGTAGCAGAGGCATGAGCTATTTACTTTAGATTCCCTATAAACCTGTATGCAAAGATTATTTTGCAGGTGAAGAAGCCCTTTAAATGATATAAAACCTGGATCTCTTTTTCCTTATAACTATGAATTGACTAATGAAATTCTCAAGAGTGTAAGTATAAACAAAAGCAGTCAAATTAATTATAGGATATCAATTCTAAGATCAGCCTAGCCAGAGATGCTGTAGCCAGCTCTATACAAGCTTATGCACCAAGAGGAAGGGCTCCCTGCAGCCCCTTGTGCGCTCTTATTTAAGCTAGGCTCTTTTAATTGCGCCATCATCCTTTGTTTATATTGCTTATGTTTATTTCCTTTGTTTATATTGCTTTTGAATTTATAACCAACGAGAAACTGAGGGGCACTCGAAAAGGAGATAGCTCCCACGTGGTTTTGCCTCTCCTAAAATGGCTGCCACTGCAAGGCCACGTGGGCAATCAAAATGGCGGCCGTAATGCGTTCCTGTTGCCTAGCGACAATGAACACGTGCGAAAACACTTAACGCTAGCCCTTTAACACTGAAAAATTCCAAAGCCTCAAGAGCAAAACCTGCAGGCATTCCCCACGTACCCCTTATGAACGTTAATTATTCCCCTGGTTTTCTCGCCAGTTAAGCTTAAAAGGGAGGGTTTGTAAAGTTACTTCCCACGTGGAATGCCTATAGTAAAATGGTGGCCGCCCGGAAGGGCACATGGGCGGATGAAATGGCGGCCGGGGCGCGCTGGTTGCCTGGCAACGGCGCAGCTGCTTCCGAGGCTTTCCAAGTCTAAACTTCCGCGCGAAAATAAAACAGCCTGTAGAGGAAGCGATGCTCTGTGGAAGCCACTCACCCCCTCAATAATGCTGCTGAAATGATTATTTAACAAGAAATTCTGCCCCTCACCCCAGCAAGAAAATGAAACAACCGGCACAAAACGCAGCCCACTCTCCTCCCACAGCTGCCGTTCTGCCTAATTGCACCACGCTCCCCTACACAAACCCCTAGCTAAAACCTGAAGCCCCAACAGCAAAACCTGATTGGATGGGTGCGCTGCGTCCTCAGTGGAAATAACGAAGAGGAGGAACGTTCTTCCTTGAGCTCCTTGCAGAACAGGCAGTCAACAGCCGAGGGCAAGCAACGGATCACAGCAGAAAAGGCTCCACAAAGTTGAATAAATTCCTCTGAAGGGGGCATGCAGCAGCAGGCACGAGAAGCTCCTGAGGGCAGGGAACTTGCACCGAAACACACAGAGCTCCCTGTAAAACTGTAGACGTGAAAGAGATGCTGGAAGGAAAGCACACAAACACACACACAGTGATTTTAGCTCAATTACAGCTCCGGTGTTAAACTGCAGCAGCTGGAATGGAGCGCAAAGGGGGAAAACCCCAGAAGGAGAAAAGCCCCAAATTGGTTTCAGCTCCAAAACTAGAGATAACAACTCCTGAACATCAAGCAGTTTAGAAATCAAGCAACACCAGCAGCGAATGCTGGAAATTCTCTGTAAAAGAAAGGGAGCTTTTTCTGTGAAGCTACAGCATATTCCACGAGGTGCCCTGCAGCTCAAGAACAAAGGCAACAAAGAAGCAAGGCAGGAACGTTGGAGGCAACGCAGATAAGATCTCCGACAAACAGGAACAGCTGATATGCGGGAAACAAACGGGGGACTAGCCGGGGAAAAGAGGGCGAGCCCCCTCTGCGCCGGCCCTAAATAGGGCAGATACAGCCGGCCGGGATTCCCCTGCTCTAGTGGGGGGTGGGCGTGAAGCCCGCAACCCCACCTCCTGGGCAGGCCGGAAGTGGCTTAGTTACTACGCAACTCTTCCCGGGAGCTTAAGGGCAAGCGGCGGCTTCTCCCTCTGCTACTACGCATGCTCGGCGGAGAGGGCGCGTGAGAGCTCATCAACGTCTAGGGGGAGCTAGACCTGGAAAAGAGGCTGGTTAGCCTTTGGCCCCGCTTGCAACTCTATTTCAACCCCTTCGCCGCCCCCCAGTATCAATGCAGGACCCTTACGGTCCCTGCGGATTCTGGCTCTGAACTCGGGGTAAGTGAGAGGCGGGGAAAGAGGGAAGGCGAAGGAGGAGGAGGAGGAGGAGGCTCCTTCTTCCACCCTGCCTGCTCTCCTTCTGTGCTTTGGCAATGACAGCGGCGGCGGCGGTGGCGACAAAAATGGGGGAGGGTCCTCTCTGCGGTCCGGTGGGTGGGGGGAGGTGAAAGGCTGCCCGCGCGCCCGAGGCGCCTCACGTGACTCTCCGAGGGGGGCGGGAGTCGAGCAATGGGGGTCCCGAGGCGAGGTGGTCGGCGGAAGGCGCCCCCGCCGAGAGCCGGGGGCGCTGCGCAGGTGAAGTAGCGCTTGCGGGGCTTACCTTGCCCGGTTGGGTAGGTAAGGCGCCTGGATACGTGCGCTGGCGCAGCCGTTGCTGGGGAGGCTCGCGCTCAAATCCCAGCTGTGGTAATTAGGCCATCCTCGCAGGGGTGTCGCGAGGACCTAAAATAAAAATACAATTAGGGTCGGCGAGACATGCACCCCGCCTATGCGTGTACATAAATACACACATACACGCAACGATTAAATTCATTTCTTCTAGATATTTGGTCTGAGCTTTGCAAGGGGTTATTCCTTGCCTCTCACCAATTCCCAAGCTGCAGTAAGCACCCAGACTGGCGTTGAGCTCAGTTTGGGGTGGAAGTGGTCAAGGGTTGGCACTTCGTGCAGAAGCAAACCACGGAGTGCATTTTCCCCCATGCGAAGGAGGGCTCTGCTTGCATGCCGTTCAGAGAGGTTGATGAAGGGGTTAACGGTTTCTAACAGATGTCATGCCAGCCTGTGACTTTGCCCCCGGTTATCAGAAGTTTGACAACTTTGTTAGATTAAATAGATATAAGAAAAGTTGTTATAATAGGGCTTACACTAATGTAACTAGGTGTTACATTGTAATATAACTAATGTCACAGAAGAGCAACTAGTATACTATATCCTTAATTCCTCTCTGTATACAGTATTATAAAAAGTGGGTTCAGCTGATAAAGTAGCTGATATTGTGTGGAATGGCTGTCATGGCTATTTACTTTTAATTTCATAAGATACAGCTCAGTACAAAATTGTATATGCATTATTTATTTGCAAACTATTATATTCACAGATGACAGTGTGTGCTATATATTCAATGATCAAAAAACTTGCTAGTTTTGAAATACGAGTTAAGGCTTTCTGATGTTGATTCAAACTCCACAAACTCAGGACATTTGAAGTTAAGGCTGATGAAACCTTAAGAAATATACCCTGTGATCAGCAAGGAGGTTGTACATTGTCACAGATTGTGCTTACTGGCAACTTTGCCTCCATGCACCCCCACTTTTCCTTGGTCTTTCAGGCCCAATCCTGCAAGGGAGGATGGAGTGCCTGGGGCCCGCAAAAATACCCAACATTGTACTGGTTTTGTATTACCGTATTACTTAGTTTATGAAAAGAAAATATATTGAAATAATGGGTTCTGCTAAATAGAGAAGTAATGGTTTCATAACTGTTAATTGTTGTAGTAGCCCTGTGGTATTTTCAATGTGGGGAATGATTCTGCAAAAGCAAAACACAAACAAGCTAGTAGCTGTGTAGAAATAAGCAAATGAATAGGTTTTACCCTCTGTGTTCAGAAAAGTTTGCTTCTGAGTAAGTCTGCACAGGGTGGTAATATCCTCTCTTGCTCAGTAATCTTGCTGCCTGGCAGACTGACTCCCTGAGACCTTAAAAGTTAACTTGCTGTTTACTTCGCTCCTGCCTTTCTCCCAATATGAGGAGAACACTAGGTGGTAGGCAGGGGGTAGGGGTGGGTTTAAGTATGGGGTGTGTATCGAGATTGTGTGTGGAATTCTGTGTCTGTTTCTGTGGTGGTGCTTTAAGTGTGAAGCAAAGGATATGTGGGGGCAGTTTCAGTGTGGGGTGGAGTGTGTGGAAGTGGGTTCACTGTGGGATAGGGCAGGCTTATGCATGCTCCACCAATGCATGTGATGACATGGAACATAAGCCCTGTGCCTGTACTTGTTTACCATGGACTTTAATGAGAGAGGAAATCTTAATAACTTTTGAGTAGCTTTTCAGAACTTCACCAAGCCAGTGGAAGTGAGGGCTCCACAAGAAGCCTGAATGAAATAGATCAGCAAGTTTCACCAAAACTGGAAAGAATCGTTATTTATTATATTTCTTAGTTGACCTTTAAAATAAAGTCTCAGGGCAGATTACAAAAATGTAAAAACTCTGTATTGAAATCAGTTATACAGTATGTGGTCTTAATAGCAGAAGGCCACAACTCAGTGCCTTGCATGCAAAAGGCCCCAGGTTCAGTCCTTTATGGCATCTCCAGTTAGGACTGGGAGAGACTGAAATACTGGAGAGTCCCTGTCAGTCAGTGCAGACAATAATGAGTTGAATAGACCAGTGGGTTTGGCTCAGTATAAGGCAACTTCCTATGTTCCTAAAGAGCAGGGGACAGGGCAAAGTGTAAATTTTCAGCACTTCTCGACTTACTCTGTTATCTGTGGCAACCTTTTTCAGGTCAGTTAGAAATTTGGCACTTTCATAGACCTCTTCAGCCTAGACAACGTAAGCCAAGTTATTAGCTCAACAGACAGCATTTTTATAAGCTATAGAATTTTGAGGCTTACAATGAAAGAACCTCCTGTGCTTCTATAATATATGTTAATATACTGTAGAACATTGTCTATTTGATTAATGTTGAGGATAAATCTTATTGCATTGATTTTCTTCTTAAACAAGATATCTTTATGAACCTTGTCTTGATCAACCCTATTTTCCAATAATAATAACACAACTTAAACTATTGGAAACTGGTACTCAAAGGAGAGAGAAAATTGTATTTCTAATGTGAAATTACACTAAGGAGAAAAGGTGTGGCACTGTTCTTTTATTTTAAGTACCTCATTTTCTAGTAATGGAATTGTGTAGGAGTTTTGTGACCTTCCTGAAAATGGGTGTAGGGGCTAGAGTTTGAACATGAAATGTGTAATTGTGCACTGAACATGCACATCAAGTTTCATTCCTTGCCTCTGTTATGCTTGAAAACTTGGAATGTTTACACAGGTAGAGAACATTCTCTTCCTGCCCCCCCCCCCCACTTAACCAGGTTTCTCTTGGGTTTTGGTAGACAATAGGTGGACTTGCCAGTGATAAATTGCTTGTGTCTTGTGCTTCTCTGTGTCTTGTGTCTTTGTGACAAGCTATCTCATGTCCTGGATGATAATTGACTATATTTAGAAGTCAGCCTAACATTTGTGAAGCTTCTTATTCCGCACGGAGAATTTATTGTTCCCTCTCATTCTTATCTCAACATTCCGTCCATCAAGTTTCATCCCTACAGTTTTTCTTTTTCTTTCACCTCACAGTTTATTTGTTATAGCTTTAGCAAGGGACATATTTTTTCAAAAAGTAAAAACATAGCCATCATAACACTAATACAAAATTAAATGCTACACAACACAATAAAAGAACAGTAATGTTAAAAAAAGTATTGTTAACGCCTGAGTTATTTGTTGCCAGATAGATAAATCCAATAACAATTGTAGAATGTTTATTATACAGCAAAATTGAATGAAGATTCATTGTTGTATCTACATTTTAAGTGAAAATCAAAATTCTGTACCAAGCTGACATACGGTTATTCTTCCTTATGTCAGAATGGCTGATGTCATTGGGTGACTGAAGTAATGCTGTAATCCAGGGATGGACAAATTTTTTTCACCCCATGGATTACCGGTACACTCCCTTCTGAGGAACCCTTCTGAGAGCCACGCCTAAGTGGTGGGTGTTTTACAAGAGGCAAACGGTGGGGGAAAATATGTAAACATATTTACAAGCTAGCTTGTGGGCCAAAGGCCTGCCTAAAGAAAACAAGACAAGGCAGATGCCAGAGTGGACTCATCCATAGGCCAGAGGAACAGCTTTTGGGATATTGTTTCCTGCCAGAAATGTTACCCTGGCCAGGAGACCAAGAAAGAACATCATGGTAAGGGGGACCCAGATCTGGCCCTTGCTTTCTTTTTCTAGTCTTAACCTTCTTTTATTTCATGTTTTTGTCTCTTATATGTTGAGTCTGCAGGAAGGGGCTGCTTAGAAATTTTTAGGGTGCTTTACAAATGTTAAATAGTTTTTAAAAAATTGTTTGCAACATTTCAAACCCTAACATTATGCTTTTTAAATCATTGACAGCTAGAAGCCGCCTACGTGTGCCTTGAACTACAATGACATCATGGCAAGATTTCGCAGGAGAACGTGCATCATTCTGGTGCTCTTTATTTTATTCATATGCTCCATAATGATGGCCTTGAAAACTTTGAGACCTGAAAGAGCTGGGTTTGGAGATCCATTTGGCCTTGGCCTGTTACCAGATTTTCAGCAACGAACAACACATTTAAGAAATAAGTTCAATGTGCAGAGCGGAGCTAAGGAAGAAAGTTTCACGCATGCAAAAAATGTTCACCCTTTAACAATGAACTTAAAAAAAACCACCGTTTCTGTAAGGAAGCTAGAAGAACATCTGCCTTCCCCAAATTACAACTTTCATGTGTTTTACTACAGCTGGTATGGGACACCACAGTTTGATGGAAAATATATTCACTGGAACCACCCATTGTTAACACATTGGGATCCCAAAATTGCAAGTGATTATCCAAAAGGAAGGCACAGTCCTCCGGAGGATATTGGCTCCAGCTTCTATCCTGAACTTGGACCTTACAGCTCCAAAGACCCTTCTGTCATAGAAGAGCACATGAAGCAGATGAGCTCAGCTTCCATTGGTAAATGGTATTTTATTTTTCTGTATGGCATTAAGCGTTTTGAATTCAGAGCTTTGGTGTGATAAGTCACTTTCCCCCTTCTTTGAGCTGAAACTGAATTGTGAGAAAGTCTTACATAATTTCCCCATTATTAACTGTGTTCTCCATGACATATGACAATTAGGATGAATCACAAATGTCTTTTCTCAGGGATTGAGTAAAAATATATTGAAACCAGGAACTTGGAAGGTAACTACGTGGACTATCACCTTCTACTAGGCTTGTGACCTATTCTGTTTAGCTAAACTATGGCTTGCTTGTACACCTGTACTGAAATTTACTCACTAATCATGGATTTTGTGAGTTGACGAAGGAGGATCCATAAGCACAGTTTGAAGCTGGCTTTTCAGCTGCAGTTTGAACTAACTGGTTTCTTACTGAAGCTTGGGCATTCAGGTTTGTTCAGCCACTCCCTTGGATGGCCACCTGATTATAGAGGCAGAAGGGCAGAGCAGCTGAAAAATGAAACCGCTTCAACCATGTATTCAGTGGCTAATGCTGGTAGTTTTGCAGAGCTCAACTTCTGTCCTCTGTCTGCTTGGCAACACCCCATCCACTGTTCACCTCCCCAAACATTTTTAATGATGTTTACTTAAGTCATCTTAAAACACAATTTTAAGGCTGTTTAACAGATACAGTTGCACTTCCCCTATTCCTGCAAACAGACAATTTTTTACACTTTGCTTTGCCTTGCCTCTCATTCTCAAAAAAATTAAATATGACCTATGCATCTCCTCTCCATCAGCATTCCCTTGATTTCTGTTCTTAGAGACAGATACAAACAGAGGTGATTGTTGCATGATTCATACTTTACTGGCCCAGAAATGAGTTGGAATTGTATACAGAGGTACCTCTGGTTACGAACTTAATCCGTTCCGGAGGTCCATTTGTAACCCAAAACAGCTCATAACATGAGGCGCGCTTTCAGTAATGGAGCCTCCTGCTGCTTCCGCGTTGCCAGCACACAACTTCCGCTCACATCCCGAGGCAAAGGTCGCAACCGGGAACATCTACTTCTGGGTTAGCGGAGCTCATAACCCGCAGCGTTCGCAAGGGGGACGGTACGTAACACAAGGTTCCACTGTAAAAGGAGCCATATTGTCCCCACAGGCTGGTTTCCTCTGTCTGTTAAGGTTCTATTCCAACCATTAGGCATGAAAAGGGTATAGACCTACCCTGTTCTACCACCTGATAGTGTAAGGATTATTTTTTGCCCATTCTTAAAAATTAGTCAAACAAACAATAAAGCTAGTACAGTAGTGATTTAATTGGTGACTTGGAGATACTTGAAGATAGCTAAAGAAACTCAATTTTATTGGCTTATGTGTTGAAATGTTTGATACTGAAATCTCAGAGTAGTTGTACATGCTTTGTTTGCTAAATTGCTTTTTTAAAAAGACATTCAATACAAATTGGTTAAACATCACCATAGGTAAAATGTATATTTTGTTCCTTAGGGGTATTGGCCCTTTCTTGGTACCCACCTGGAATGGGTGATGAAAATGGAGAACCTGTTGATGCCCTGGTACCAACAATTTTGGATATTGCACATAAGTACAAATTAAAGGTACACTATTTGAAGTTTTAGACTTGTCAAAGTTGTAGATATGATGGACTGATTGTTCTAAAGTTAGACACTCTGCACAGTTGTCCTATCGGAAATTGAGGAGTTGAGTTAATTGCATGTAATTTCATTTGGCTAAGGTGCTGCTGCCCAAACTCCCTCCCCACCAATGAACCAATCAAAAATTGTTGATGGTCTTGACAGAGCACTTAACGATTTTTTTCCCTGAGTGTTATAGCAATTGGAATGTGCTGTGCTGGATGCTGTATGATTTTTAATCATGTTTTTATTGCTCCTTTTATTTCTTGTATTACAATTGGGATATAAGGAGGAAAAGAAGCAATAAAATACAATGGAAAATAAATATGAATATTTAATATGGACATTCCACAGACCACATAAACAAAGCTTGCAGGCCACTAGTGGTTCACAGACCACAGCTTGAGAATTCCAAGCTAAGGAATGTTTGGTGAAGTGCTACATTGATAGAACTAGGAAACAGCCTAGTGTTGTGTATCCAGTTTAGCTACAGTATCTTACACTATTGTAGCTAAAGAGCAACTTTCTGTGTATACATGTCTACTCTGAAGTACCACTGAATTCATAGGCTACAATGCATGCCCATTAACCTGTGAGTCACTTCCACTGAATCCAGTGCACAGTTTGCATACAATGGTGCACTGGGTGCTTCTGGAAACACTCATAGGATTGTGCTTTTAGTGCCTGGCAAATGAGGTGCAGCCATTTTTCTGTATATTTCTTGCTAGGCTTACAATACCACAAAAGCAACTCTTTAGTTGGTACTTCTACCTCAGATATGGGGAACTTTTAGCCTTCCAGATGTTACTGAATTACAACCATTGGCCAGGATGATTAGAGTTATTGTTTGTTTGTTTGTTTGTTTTGCTTTGTTTGCTACTATACTGTGTATTTTTGTGTGTTTTTTATTGTGATCTTCAGATGAATGGTGGTATAGAAATTTAATAAATAATAGTAACATTTGGAGGGTCAAAGGTTCCCCACACCCGTTAGAAATGCAATTTATATTAATCACAGTTACATTTTTGTTGTGGTTGTTGTGTAGGAGTATATTTGAGTTACTTTGCATGCACTTCTATTGGCTTTACATTATTCTGTTGAATTGTGAATTATAATAGAGTGCTATGTTGCACTAACACTTGGAACATTTTGCTCCTTGTTTAAGTTCATAACTCTCCTGGGTTGAATTGCTTGGAGTTTTCATTCTTGCTTGCATTGCCCTTGCTAGGTTTCTGTCTCATGATGCACTTTAAAGTAAAGCTGCATCTGAAACAAATGCAGTTCCCAAAGGGTTTGTGCAGGCTGTACATTTTATCTCCTTACTTCATAATCTTGGATACAAATCTTGACCAAATTCCAATTGCCTATTCTTAATTCATTTGGTTTCCAAATGAATACCACAACCTAGTGATAGGACTGAAAGTTATATTTATCACAGTTTGTCTAAAGTGACTTTATCACAACTGGTATCTCTGTAAGTGCCAGCTAATTGCATTGTCATGCATAATTGTGTTATATGTGGTTCAGCTGTTTCGAAGAACTACCTCTGGAGTGGGTGGTAAGATGTACTAAACTGGTGGCTTGTGCAAGCTTTTGATGGAAACAGCCTTCAGTGGTTTCCTGCAGTCTTCCGATCCTCAGAGGGTTCTATACTGGGGAGGAGAAGGCAGGAAAACCTTACAGCTTCTGCTTGTGCAACTATGGCTCAAACACAGAATATTTAGACTCAAAATGGAGATTTCAAGAATAACTTCTGCAAACCTTGGTATTCCCCTAAGCCTGCTGATACCTCCCTTCTGTTCATAGACAGTAATGTTTTGACTGGTGATACACACTCACCTTTGAACTTCATAAATAGAAGTATTTGACCTTCACTATGTTGAGATTATTCAGTCATTTAAAAACACCTATCTAATATTTCATTTTTTTTAGGTCACTTTCCATATTGAGCCATACAAAGATAGAGACGATCGCAGTATGTACAGCAACATCAAGTATATCATAGACAAGTAAGCACTTCCTCAAGTATTTGAATGATGATGTTACGACTTAACTCTGTCCAGTGTTTTTCATGTGATTTTGTTTCATTGTGCAGCACACTATCAATTAACGTTCTTAATCCACACAAATAGCTCTGCTTCTTGTTCAAATCACCTGACTTTTCTCTGCCTGTTCAAGTCAGAGAGATTTGGTTCAACTGCCAGTTTTGTTATCTTTATTGCTGTGTCTTAAGGCTATTTTTCATGCTTTCTGCCTTGCTAGACCTTTAGTTAGCCTTGACTAGCTGAAGTATCATGAAATATGAAATTAGAAGCAAAGCAATAGAATATTTTTTTCTTCATAGTGTGGAAATGACTAATTTAAATAAAATTAATTGTGCATAACTACATTGGCAAATGTACATCCTTTACTATATCTATTGTTGATGATGCCACATTTGAATGGAAATAAATTTGGGAAGAGCAAACAACACTGCTTAACACCAATGATACAAAAATGAAGGCTATTTACTTTATATTGGTTACTTTCTTTCCTTTCTAGATATGGAGCCCATCCAGCCTTTTACAGACATAAAGTCAGCACAGGTAGAACCCTTCCCATGTTTTATGTCTACGATTCTTATATAACAATCCCTGAAATGTGGGCAAATCTGCTTACTGTCTCTGGCTCCCAGAGTATACGCAATACACCCTATGATAGCTTATTCATTGCCCTTCTTGTGGAAGAAAAACACAAGCATGAAATCCATAGAAGTGGCTTTGACGGAATTTATACATATTTTGCCACCAACGGCTTCTCCTACGGCTCAAGCCATCACAACTGGCCAAGTTTGAAAGCCTTTTGTGACACAAAAAACTTGCTGTTTATTCCAAGCGTCGGCCCAGGCTATGTAGACACCAGCATTCGACCATGGAACAGCCACAACACACGGAACCGCGTCAATGGCAAATACTATGAGACTGCGTTCAGCGCTGCACTTCTGGTACGCCCTGAAATAATCTCTATCACCTCTTTCAATGAATGGCATGAAGGAACTCAGATTGAAAAGGCCATTCCGAAGAGGACTGGAAAGACAATTTACCTCGACTATCAGCCACATAAGCCAAATATTTATCTGGAGCTCACTCGTAAGTGGTCTGAAAAATACAGCAAAGAAAAAGAGCAGTGGCTTACATGAGGTGCATTTCCACTTGGCAGTTCCATGATGGGGCCATCGCTGTGTCTCGCTGATAAATCAAGAACTTTTTAATTTGTGAGGATATCGTCTGCACTATTGCTATAGCTTTCCGAAGAGAAAATGTTCACTTTTAGAGTAATGATAACAATGGCAAGCAATATTAGCCCCTCGGGTTCTTATAATACATTGATAGTGCTAAATACTGTCCCTTTTAATGTTCTGTATATCACCAGTACACTGTCTAGAATATTTGATTTATAACACTAGTAGTATGATACAGAGCTTATTCCAGCTAAAACAGTTGCTTAGGGTCTCTGTACCCAGCTGGAATTCTGAGCTTTCCCCGTTCCTGAAGAATTCCCTCAAAGTGAGAAAACCTCAGAAACAACTTCCAGTGCAAGGTGAGGAGGTGTGCAAAAACAAAACAAATCCTTGCACTCGAATGGAAACCACTGTGGTGCACTTAAATGTGCTCCTTAGGTCAGGCCCTTTAAAGAACCATGAACAAAACCTTTTACAACAGTTTCTTAAATATTAATTTGTATATGAGGCGTGAAGCATCTTTTCCAGTGGGAAAGTAGAGAACTCACCAAGGAACCTTCCAGAACAAGAATCACTTTTTTAAAAATGTATTGGAGCTGCAGAAGAACATTGCCTGATTTTCCTATGCTACTCCCATTCATTGCAATTCAAACCACAGGAATTGGTGGTAGGTGCCCGTGATGTATATTATATATTTTGTTGAAAAATAAACATGTTCTCCTTATTTTTTGCACTTACTTTGGTAGAAATAATGAGTGAACTAAAATTATCATGATAATCATAATTAGTAATTGTCTCAGTTAGGTTTTTCAAAGGCACATTTACTCATTTTGTTTGGCATTGCCGCATGAGCAGAACACTCAGTTTGCTTTGCTTTAGATCCTAAATACAGGAATTTATTTTCAAAGAAGGAAAATGTTTTTGAGTGCTTAGAATGTTTAGCAGGATTTAACTTTTTAGAGTACAGACTCAGAAAACAATAATTCGGAATAGTATAAATTGTTGGTTGTGAGCATTTGTAGCAGCTTTAAAAATGTCCTTTTAAAAGAATTGTATATCCCCAGTGTGGTGTTAATATCTATTCCATGTGAAATTGGAGACACCCAACTTTGGATAGTAAAGACTGTGTTCTTCCAAACACACTGCCAGCTGCAGTCTGGGGTGAGCGGACTATAACATGAGAGCACCTGGGCTTTGAATCATTTCTCACTAATGGGCTACTGGATGTTGTGATTTTCAGTGAGTGCCTTATTATCTCCAAATTGAAAGTGCCTCTCTAATGTGCTCCCTAGACACTTATCCAAAGCTAATATAGCAAACACACAAGCTGGATTCATTGTCTTATTTTATGAGTTTGGTTCTGCAGTTGTTGTTTTTTTTAAAAAACTATATTATGCTGCAGGCAAAAGGATTTGCCCTTCCCTTTTTTGCCCAGGGATGGGCAACCCCATCCCTATAGTGTTACTGGAAATTGAGCTTAACAAAACAAATTATTTTCTGTTTTTAATTTGTTTTTATTCTGAACCAAATTCCGAGCCCAGCTTGCAGCTGCTGTGCTTCCAGTAACATCACCAGGAGTGTGACAAAGCCCAAGCAATTTCCTCCACAAGCCCCTGTAGCTTGGTCCACTATGTAATTTGGTGGTTGCAACATAGGAAGGCTTCCTGTATGCTTTCCTTCTTTCCTAGCATCTTGCTAAGAAATGTAATTATTTCAAGAAGCCCAAGTCCTTTGAACAGACCATTGTGTGCCCAGGAAACATCCTACAGTTTCAGTAGGAGTAGCCTACTGAAGGCCTCTGTACCGTTGTTGTAGCTGCCAGGCCAAGTAAGTGGGAAGGAAGGAAAAGCTGGAAAACAACTTGTAGAGGTATAATCCAAAGCAGTTCTGCAAGGCCCATCCCTTTTTAAGCTACTGATAAATGGTTTTTGGAGTTCATGCAGATGAGATCCAGATGTTTATTTTCCCCTCCTAAAATACACTCATTGTTAGTGACTTTGCAAATACGGACAATTTCAAGGCTTTTTGATATAGATGATAGATAGATAGATAGATAGATAGATAGATAGATAGATAGATAGATAGCAGATTGAACCAAGGACACCAGCCAAGCTGAAATGGATTGTTTATTACCACTTTTGTAACAATTTGCACAAAATTAAATTAAAAATCTTCTGGTACATGCACTTCTCTGCCTTTCAGGTCATGGTAACTGATTTTTTGGCAGACCTTCACTGCAGGGCCATGAATGGGTATTCATACACTGATGGTATAGCTAGAATGTGAGGATTAATTACTTAGGTTCTGTTCATTCATCCACCCACCCACCCAATTTATAAGAGTAGCTAATACGATGGAAAATACTGTGAGCTGCACTTTATCCATCCCAAATAGGCCGTAGTTTAGAGGTAAGGCACACACATCCACTTGGGTGCATTGTGCTTCCCATATGTCAATATTAACTTTTAAAATTTGTTGTGAAACTCAGTGTTCATCAGTGAAAGAGCTTTACCAACACTGGCTTTGCCTTTGGGGATGAATTGATGGCTGTTTGTTAATCGTGGCACTTACTAATTACTATTTGAATTAGTTGTATGAAGTCCCATATAGTAACAAAATGAAACAAAATCAAGCTCAAAAATAAGACAGTAACTTGGAACTTGTCACTTGTCCCAAATTCTGTGCATGGCAACTCATTAATTGAATTTGATTTTCTTACAGCACAATTCTGTCCTTGTTTACTCAGCAGTAAATCCCACTGAGTTCAGTGGAGCTGAATAGGCGTGCACAGAATTTCGATGTTGATGCCTTCAGATTTCCTAGAATCATTATATGCCCTTAAACCTGGGGCTGGGGAACCTATAGCCTTCTAGATATTGTTCAGCCCCAACCCTTGTCAGCCCTAGTCGGTATGGCCAGCAGTCCAAAGTTGATGTGGTATTGTTGTCCAGCAAAATCTAGAAGGCCCCTTCTTTGCCTTATGGTGTATTTAAAGTAATGCTTTCAAATTATCATGATCAGTTAAATTTTGGAGTAATAATGGTTTGAAACCAGTTTTGCTACTACTGCTTAGGCACTTTAGACATCTAATCAATTTTGTTTAAAAACCATATTGCGTTTCTTAAAAGAAAATCGCAACATAAGCTTTTAAATATTTTTTCTCCATTTATTTCATTATAATTCTGCTAAGGGCTGTGATCCAAAGCAACAGATGTAGTGCTGCATACACAGCTGCAACTTGTAGTCTATAGCTCTGCTCAAATAACTGCATTTAAAGTGAAAACTGACTTGTCTTTACAGCAGTGTGAGCAGTTCAGGATCTGAAGGAGCTTCCAGCTTAAGTGTGCACACTTCTCCCCAGGATACCCTAATAGCTTCACTATTTTCCCACCTAGGGCTTCAGGGCATCTGCAAAATGGTCCCGGTGTCAGCTAGAGAATTTTTTGGCAATCATTTTCCTTTCCAAATTTGAAATTTTGAAAGGAGGCAACTTTGAAGTATTTTGTTCATTTGAAGTAGATTTTTTTTCAGACATAGTTCTTTCTTCTCTCTGCTGCTGCTGCCTAGCAGATAGTTTATACTTGCTTTTGCAGTTCTAATCACAATGAGATTTCTTCACCTTATCTCACAGAACTGTTATATTCACATAGCATATACATAATATGGAGAGTTGAATGCAGATCTAATCTGACACTCTTGCTTTCACTGCTAAATATGTGGTTGGGGTGCATAGAGTGTTTGGAAATTGTAACCGGGAATTGGGGGGGGCAGGGCAGAGGAGGGAGATCTGACATTTGGGTAGAGGGCATGTAGGATACGTGATGGGAAGTAAATCGCAAGGAGTATCCTTACATAATACAATTTGGTCCATTGGTGAATACCACTGAGAAGTGAGAGCTTTTATTCTCAGAAGTACAGCAAGGCTTGGAAAGCACATAAAGGAAGCTTGTACTCAAGACATTTTCATATACTTAGGTTCAGGTCACTTGTATAGTTCCACTTGGATTTGCAATGAGTTAGACAGACAACTGTTGCAAGTACAGTCAAATAAGTTTGAATCACACTTCTTCAGTAATCTTTTAAAACCCTGCACCAGAGTTTTTAAGATAATAATACTGTCTGCAGACTAAGGAACAGACCTCACTGCATGATTCATACTATAGTAAGCCACTGTCACATGGTGACTATGAGGAAGGAAAGTCTGAATTCCAGAGTGGTTGATTTAGAGCTTAAAGGGCTCATCTGCAGGGCTACAGGTTTTTACAAATCGCAACCTAGCTTGCAAATTCCGTTCTCTTCTGTCCGAATTAAGTGTGTGTCTCAACAGTTGTTTCAATTATACGATAATAAGGTCTGCTTTATGAGAAATGAAATTATTCTAATTTACTTTTAAATAAATAGTTGTAAGGCTTTTAATGTGCACAGTGTTAGTATGAATACATGAATGAGAAGTTAGACAGCGTATTGTACACACCTATACTGAAAATATGAAACGTACTCTGTATGCTATGAAAAAAGAACACTGCAGGAACACTGTTCTTGGAGTAAAAGTTCATGTGATTTGTATTTTCTGAAATGTTCATTCTGCCTCTTATTTGCCAGGGATTTCTTTGAACTTCAGTGGAAAGCATACTGAATAGCTTAATACATACTTTCTTTGGTGAAACATTTGTTAATATATGCTGAAGCTGTTTTGGAAGCCCAGCTCACATTTCAAAAAACTGAACCATCAAAAGCTATGTAAGGACACAATCCTACAGCTGATTAAGGGCTGAGGAGTCACCAGAAGTGACGTAAGTGCCATTCTGGAGGCATGGTACTTATGCTCCCAGAGGACCCCTGATACACCTGTGGAAAACTCTGTGGGCATAGAATTTATGCTGGTTCTCTGGCATCAAGCAGAGAGGTGTGGGACACTGGGTCAGGATGTGGTGCAGCAGCTAGGAGTCCACAGGACACTCCTTCCCAGACAGGTTCCCCAGAGGAGTCTTTAATTATACCATTCCTGGAGCTGGTGTAGTTAATCATTCCCATTGAAATGGTTGGGGGGAAAGGTAGAGAAAAGCTTGCCAGCCACCTTCTGTCCTGACTTCAGCAAGTTGATGGGGCTTAGGAAGTGGTTGGAGCTTCCCCAAAGAATCTTCACAGCCACACACATGCACAACCATTACCATAGGATTTTTCTGCTCATGTGTTGTAATTGGTACAATAATGCTTGAGTGAAAAGTGTGGTATGTTTTGTGATAGGTTTCTCTTACCTTTTCCCCTTTGTTTTAGCTAAATAAGGCACAATTGCTTTCTTTTGTTTTTCTGGAGAAATGTGTTGGAAGAACCCTCCACATAAAAATAATATTGTGCATACATACTGTAAACATTAGGTTGATTAATTGTGAATGTGTTCCGGCTTAAGCAAATTGTGTTAATTTTCCCACTGTATGCCTTAATGAGCTAATTGAACAACCCATACTTTCTTTCTGGGACTAATTTAGATCACTCCCTCCTGCTCTAGAGGGAAGAGTTTGTATGGAAGAGATTGATGCTTGGTAGGTTGCTCAAGAACCAGTCAGTGAAATATGTGTAGCATAGGCTATGGCTTGCATTGGAGTCAAAATTACATTGTCTAAGCCATGATATTTGGATCCAAAGTTTTTCTTAGTGCAGAACAATCCTTACGTGTTATGCTTCCATGAGCATCACCAACTTTAACAACAATTTGACATCCACCTTGAATTAAATTTGTTGTATTGAATGCTGCAATTCTTTCTCAGCTCAATTGGTGAGTTGGGATTTTGTGGAAGATCATTTTCCTGGGTTTGAATGTTGCAGATAATTTCTAGTGTTCATGCCCGCTGATGGATATCCGTCAACTGTGTTTTCCTTTTCTGTCAGTTGGGATGAAGATATTATATGCAAGAGCATTGCAAAAGTCCCAAGTGAGCTAGAAATTATGCCCTTAGCTCAAAAAGTCCTCTTCTTTTTTCTGTCATATCATTCCTTCTCTTGTTTACCTTCCCTGCCAACTGTATAACTTTGAAGTTATTCCTGTGCAATTTAATTTTAAAGTTAACAAATTTGGTTCATGCTCCTTTGTGCGGGAAAGTCACTGTAACTCAGCAACAGGTATATGAATATGTGGGTTTGTTTTGAAAGTTTATAGCAGTGGGGTTGAGAGGAGAGCTAAACAAGATAATGCTAGACCATTTCTTTCTTTTAAAATAATAGCTGGAGCTGCAATAGTTGGGAATTTTCAAGCATATGACATTATTCTTTAATTGTTCAACATAAAGCACCACCCATTTTTTTTAAAGTACAATGAGCATACTTGTATGATCCAGCTGCTGCAGAACTGTAGCTCTTTATATTGCAGGTGGAGAATAAGTTACCTGCAGTAAACAAATCTTTTGCACATTCAAAAATAGAATTTAGGGAGAGTTCTGGTTTTGGTATGTACAGGGAGGTTGTGGTGTGTTTATGTGGAGACATATTCAAAAATTCAGTTTCCAACTAGCAGTCTCCAGTGGTAACGGTCCAGCAACAAATACACCACACATGGAGTTTCTCTCTTAGTTTAATACGTAATTTGAATCACTATTAATTGCTTGACTATTTTTCCAGCATTTTTCCAAAATATGAACAATAATTATGAACTGTATTTATGTACTGTTATGTTTGCAAATGTTTCTTGACTGTTAGAGGCTTTTATGGAGAATAAGTGCCTTTTTAAAGTACTGTATGCATTTTACTAGATATTGACCCTTAGTGCTGTTAAGCATTGTTTAATTTTTCGATGGGCATCCAATGCACTTCTGAGTAAAAAGCCCACACAGTTGCATGTCAGTTACAAATGGTGCATGCATGTTCACAATGACACGTTCATACTTTCATTTAAACGCCTTCCTCTGCAGAAAGGGTATAGTATACATGCGCCCCTGGGGAAAGACTTGAGTTCCTACTTCAACTTAACATTATACATTATTCACAATAGATGTGGCATGCTTTTATTTTGTATTTGAGTTCCTGTACCTGACTACAAAAAGTAAAGCACAAGAAACAGTCACAACGGAGTTTAATCTTCCGAGTTGCCTGCTTTATTGACTTGCTTTGTAGCATTCACTTACACTGAAATCCATTTTCTATAGCTACTCTTCAGTTTATGTGCCCTAAAAAACAAAGGCAATGGGGTATAACAGCAACATTTCTTATTTCCAAGATTTATAGTTTAGCTGAATACATTTCAATATATACATCTTTGAAAGCTCATTGGGGAACCAATGGATGATGTGAAATAAAACATTTCCCTTAAGCTTTGGGTTTTTTAAAAGCTTCTCCCCTGCATCTTCCCACTCTGCTGCAGATTTTCTTCTACATGGACTTTATGTCCAGTAACAGCTGGCTGAAATTACTTCACATTTCTTAAACTGCAGCTTTAAATATACCTACTGGAGAGTAAGCCCCATTGAAGAAAGTGGGACTTGTTTTTTTATAAACACACATTGAATGTATTGTCAATCTGTTATTAAAGGTTTAAATATGTGCAATTAATGCTTGTGAAGCTCGATAAAACAGAGTTGGCAAACTTGCGAAAGGCAGAAATAGGTATGGCAATGTGAGGTATGATTTGAGCCTGAGGATTAGAATTTTCTAGCTTCTTCCAATCTATAAAATAGTGCAGACTCTAATATCTTAGTATCTTTTGCTGATAAAACTCCTTAATTATACTACACCCACAATGGGAGCTAAAGGTGAATGAGCCCTATTCGGCATTATACAGAAAATATCCCCTAAGGGCCGCTTCAGATGTTGCACACTCTACCCACAATATGATAGTACTGCCAAACGTTGGACAATCATGGCTAAAAAGGAATGTATATACAATTGAATAATTGGCATATAACTAAATAATTACATCATTTATTTGTAGAAGTATTTTCTGCATAGGAAATATCTGAGGTATATCTGCTTGGAATGCAATAATATGGTGTTCAACTTTTAAAACCAGATCATTGGGATCTGCTAGCCTCATTTAACTACCTGAATCTTGTCCAGATCCTTTAGTGAGCTTTTGTGAAGGCTTGAAGTTAAGAGCCTCAAGAATCTAAGTTGGTTGACATTATTTTAACTTTGTAGGTTCATGAATTCCTATGGTAGAGTGGAAGTTCACTCTCTTGTAGACCTATATATCTTACAAGCTACTGAAATAAACTATAGGCTCCAAAACTTTAACCAAGGGCAATTCAAAGTGTCACCTTCTAACTTCCTATAAAAAAAGAAGATTGTCTTCCTCTTTGATTCAGTTTGTTAATATGTAATCTATAAGTGTTTGTAAACCCAGAGGGAGAACAAAATAATTATTTTCCCCTTGTGTTTTCATACAATTTAGAAGCATAAACTACTTGCATCCTTAGTTAAAATAATACTTGCTTTAAAAAATGTAATTATGCAAGGTGTGTACATTTCTTTCTGTGGCACATTATCACTGTTAAACTGTTAATGTATTTTTGATGTACTTTACTTTGTGCACCACTGAGCACCACTGATTATGTACAGTGTTTTGATGTGTAAAACATATAAGTCTAAAATACTATGCATGTCTCAGGAAATGTAATTTACAGAAAATGCACTTCAAAAATCGTAAAATCCTGTTAAATAGTATGTAATATAATTAACACTTGAACTAAGGACTGCAAACAATTCTGGGCTATGTGTTTTAACAAATAAAATTTCCATTACCATGTTTCTGTTATTGCATAGTCTCATAATATTTGACTGAAGTAATTGGAAAATGTGTACTTTTCTACTTAGTGGGGCATTATTTCAGATAGCTACCTTTTGAATTGCAACTAGCACATATTCAGTATTCTTCAGTGCATTATACAAGGTTATCAAAGTTTCAGAGATTAGCTGTCCTGCTTCCAGTCTTAAGTTAATAAAGTTTTCCCTCAACTAGTAGCAGACAAGAGAATGCTTCCATTTGCCAAATCCTGCCCCTTTTGGAGTTTGATCAGCTTGCTCTCCAGAATCATCTCAGGCTTGCCCACAATAGCTGCCCCCTTCCAGCTTGCATTCCTGCTGTCTCGGTTCCCTTTCCCCATGGCTTACAAGTCCCTGCCACACATTTTGAATTCACCTCTTTCCCTCTTGGCTACAAATTCTAGCAAACAGTGCAGATCTGATCACACTGTCTACACATCTAAACTGCTAATTTAATTAGAATAGAGAGACGGATGCTGTGTTATGACATAGTTGCCACTGGGCATCCCTTCCGAGCACTGAAGAGTGTTCAGTACTTTGTATTGTATTATGGTAAGGACAATTGGCAGACCATATCATGGAATCCAAAGAAGCTTCCATTCCCACACTTTTGTTTTGAAGACCTACGTTAGTGCTATTAAGTGCAAATATAAAATGTTAGGATTGCAGAAAGAGGAGGGTGTGTGTTTTAATGGAAATGGTGTGGCTGTGCCCTCATCGATGGAAAGAAAGGCACCTCCCAACAACCGCTGCCACACTTGCTCACAGAGAGAAGCTCTTTGTACCTCACCACCATCAGAACCAAAGGGAAGGAAGGTATCTAATCCTGGCATCCATGTAAATGTTGGCATGTTTGATATATAAGAGGCCAACCCAGGGCAAACACATACTGAGCAGAAAGAGCAAACAGTCTCTCATGCATTGTGGATGTTTGATGAGATATCTACTGAGACCTTTCCACAACCATGATAGGAGGTACTGATGGCCCCCATCGTGGAGGATGAAAATAAACAACATACATGTTCCATGAATATTCCATGGTACAGGGGTTAGATGCCATACCTTTGCAAGGTTTAAGCCAGGATGAAGAAACCCTAGTCCTCCAGATACTGTTGCTTCCCATCAGCTCCAGCCAGCATGGTTAATGGTCAAACACAATGAGAGGCCAAGAACATCTGGAGGACCATAGATTCCCCACCCATGCTCTACAGGGTCAAATGGTGAATGTTCTTACAAACCACTTGACTTTTTCCTATCTTCTGTAGAGATTCTAGTCCATGAATCATCCTACGGATGTATATCTCAATAGCATTTGACAATGAGGATTTGCGTGGGTCTTTAACCTTTTTATCGTTTCTGTTTTTGCCACTATTTATATAAGCTGTTCGGAAGACACTGAGATGGGAGCAAGCAGGAAGCTTGGTAGGACAATGGGGGGGGGCAGTGGCAGGGGAAGAAGAGACACAAACACCATAAAATTAAACTGTGAAAAGTTAGCCACAATTTTTGACAATGTGTGTAACTGAGAACATTTTAAAGTGAAAGTGTGATGCTGATTTCACTAGTGAAAAACCAGAGGAATGAGAGGCGAGACTGAGCAACAAAATAGCTAGAAATGGTCAAACTTGCTTTAAGAAGGAAGTACGAGTTTAAATATGTGCAGGCTATGTTTGCTGCTGATAAAGGAGGAATGCATGTCTGCACATAGCTGAGCACATTAAATGGCAATGAGTTATTGAGCAAAAGTAAATAGCATTATATGTGAATCTAATAAGTGAAATTAAAAGAAGAACTTGGCTGAATGTCAGAGAAGGCATCATGATAGGTAGTGCTATTATTGTGCAAAATAATTTCCCAAGGGACAAGCTTTGTAGCTTGAAATCTTAAAAACTAAATGATAAAATGTTTGTAAAATGTAAGAGCAGAAAGAAACTGCTCTGGCACACTGAATAGAATAGCCTGCGATTTTTAGACGTACAGTAATGACATTGAAAATAGGTATTTTGCATCCTTTGATTCCAGTGTATTTTTCACAACTAGGCAATGTCTGTTTTAAACCTATTGAGTGACAGAAAAGAACCCACATGTGGGCTAGAGGTATTTGAACAGGTTTTTTTTTGTTTTTGTTTTTAAATGTGGCTCCTCTCCTCCCTTTTATGAATACTAAATGGTCTTCTTAAGCAAAAAATAATAAGAAGAATTTTCTGTCCTATAAACAAGAGGCACCCGGTATGTGTATTGGTTAGAATTCTGGATGAGACTGGAGAGACTGGGTTTCAAGCCATCCCCCTTCTATGGAGATTACATTGGGCCAATCACTATATTTCAGCTGAGCCTGCTTCACAGAAACATATGGAACTGTCTTATGCAAATTAAGATAATTGGTCCACATATCAGTACATACGCTTCAGGTTACAGAGTCCACTAACCCAGAAATAATACCTCGGGTTATGAACTTTGCTTCAGGATGAGAACAGAAATTGTGCTCCGGCGGCAGCAGGAGGCCCCATTAGCTAAAGTGGTGCTTCAGGTTAAGAACAGTTTCAGGTTAAGAACGGACCTCTGGGACGAATTAAGTACTTAACCCAAGGTACCACTGTACTGGCTACTCTGACTGGCAGTGATACTCTGAGTTTTGTGGACTCTCCAAGACCTACTGTCTGAAGTCCTTCAGCTGGAGATGCCAGGGATTGAAGAGAAACATTTTTTGCAATGTAGGACAAGATTTAAAAAAATAGCATAAAATAAATGCTTTGCCAAATAAAAATGACCCTAGGCTATTTCAACTCAATATAGAACAATTTGTTTTGGATGGAACATGGTTTTTCCAAAAATGACCAACTATGGGACTGACACAACCAGTGATGGGTGAACTTTCTCAGGTTCTCCTTGTGTTGCCTTTGGATTCTTTCCAAGGTTATGATGTATAATACCATGCTAGGATACGGGAGTCAAGAGCTGGAGTGTGGAGAGGGGAAGAGCTAGGCATTTTCCAGCTCAGATCAAAATCAAAGTTGGAGGAGAACATAGGCTTGTAAAGCTCACCTTGCTTCTGAACTTTGCTTTAACCAGCCCCAGAAGTTCCATTCAAACCTTGTTCAGGAGAACTTTGCAAACCTCTCTAGCTGCAACTAATGCCAACCCTAGTTGCTTCAGTAACTTTAAGTCTAGGCTACAGTTATGTGGAACATGGTGGATCAAACCCTCATTTCGTGGATAACAGAGAGCATATTAAACCCATTATTTCAGTGGCCATACTCAATCCTTCACGGCAGAACACTGAATATGGCTTACGAAGCCACAAACTGATCAAGACATACAGCGTACTTTTAAATATTGATGAGAGTTTCAGCACTTTTAAGTCCAATAAATGTGTCAAGTTCAAATTTGAATTTCATTACTTCAGCCTAATAAAAATAGAGCCACAATGACTTCATAAGTGCTAGTCCAGATAGAGAGGTACAGTAGTTAAATGTGAAAGCAGGTTTCCATGGACAAATCTTTACCTGGATGAGGAACTGCACACCTAAATGGATGTGGTATGAGCATTCGCTGTCCCAATTAAGTGCCATTAGAAAAATGGTTATAGTTGTACGTATACACAGTTGAATCAGTACTGTAATACATGCAAGAGCTAAAACAACCACCCCTCTGTACCCAGATATGAAATTATTTACTGTCCTACTGAATTTGGATCTGCTGTTCAAATGCTGCTTTTCAGAATGAGACAGAAGTAAATGTCTGAAGCTCCCTTTCCATTGTTCATCATGGTGCTCCTTGAGAGCTCTGCCATCGCTTGTCTATGCAGAAAATACATTTTTTTTTGTTTTTATATAAATGGAAATGTGCAGTGCGTGGCTGACTAGGGTATGGCCTTCAGAGCCATACTGAGAGACTCAAGCCATTGCTATGGAAACACAGCATGGCATCTCAAATCTCTGGCTTCCTCATACAGCAGTGAGATGATTCAGAAAATAAAATTAACAAGCAAACAAATCAGGACCTGGTTGCTCCAGGGGAAATAGAGAGGAAAATTAAAATGTTGCCCTGTTGTGAGTATTAATAGGTCTCAGCTGGGAAAGTCTGAATGGAAGATTTTATTCTAATGCTATAGCAAAGAAAGGAAAGTGTCATTTTCCTTACATTTAGAAGCTTGGGTCAGGCTTGTAGGCACAGGAATCTCCATGCTTTGCTGACATTTCAAAAAGCAAATGCCTAAGCTGTTTGGATAACTGCTAGGATTAATGAAAGACCTGGTCTCACAGTCGTGTATTTTATTCAGAGTTCAGAGAAATAACAATGGAAAACCCATAAGCCCCTTTCAGGCATTAAACTCATTTGGAGTGCAGGGTGGTCAGCAGATATCTAGTTCTGCCAACTCATGGAGGAAAAGCTGGATAGAAATGTAATTAATAAGGCTATAAGCAAATGGCCTTCAGAAAGCATCTTCAAGTTGTTTAAAATTGTGGAGGTAATGTAAAGAGCTGTGCTTATTTTGTTGTTGTTTAGTCGTGTCCGACTCTTCGTGACCCCATGGACCAGAGCACGCCAGGCACTTCTGTCCTCCACTGCCTTCCGCAGTTTGATCAAACTCATGCTGGAAGCTTCAAGAACACCATCCAACCATCTGTGCTTATTTAGCTTGGTGTTAATGACAGTGTACCCACTGCTGTCCCTTTGTCAACTGAATAGCAGTTGCTGGAAACCGTAGGAGGGGAGAGTGCTCTTGTGCTTGGGTCTTGCTTAAGGGTTTTCTAGATGGGCCACTGACTTGATACAGTAGGCTTTTCTTATGTTCTTAAGTTGTCTGAAAGGACAATCCTAAGTATGCCTGTTCAGCAGTAAATTGAATTCCATGGGGCCTAGTCTTAGGTAAGTGACTTCTATGTGTATTACAGATTTTCACAGGCAGCCAACCTGGAAGTCTCATCTGGGTTCTGAACCAGTGTCAGAACTACATGTGTATAGCTTGGTTCAGTAGATCAACAGG